ATAAAATATTACTAAAGGTAGTAATTTTATATACCGTATGAGGCAAAAAAAGCAAAATTAAAAACACTACAGATTATATAAAATCTTGAACGGCAAGAATTTAGGGATAGCAAGACAGGCGGGGAATATACCAGAAGTGTTTCATATTAATTTAAATATTATCTGGCTTCTGAAACAGAGTTGATCAATTGTTTTACCCATTTTGAATATTGATATTGGTGTTTTCCTATCTGATTTTTTGCGATGTTATTTATTTTCCTTTATATCCCAATCATGACAATGAGGACACGTCGGTTGTGATCGATCAGCAGGGGATATTCACTCCTCCGTGGCACCTGATCCCACTACTGATGTTTTAGAGGTCTGTGTTTGCTCTCCTCCAATGTTGTATTGTTTAATTGACTTCTGACCTTAAATACTGTTCGTTATCCCTCTATATTACATGGTGATAAAAGTTATGTCCAGCAAGCATAAATATGATTAGAGTTAAACATATATTTTATTTCATTTTTATACCATATATAATTTACATTAACTTCAGTGTACATGCAAAGTTTGGGGGAAATCTACCGTCCAGGTATTTTTGAGGGACCGTCTCAAAATACAGGTACATTTACTATAGGATTATATAGGAAAATGCCAATCTTTAGCACTTTAAAGCAAATTATACAAATACTACAATAGACATTTTGTACAAACTATAATATTTGATGAGTAATACTATATTATACTATATATGTAAGAAACACAAAATTCTACCATCTTGTTACCAGAGGGGGCATCTCAAAATGCAAAAAATTAGCAAATTTTACTATTTTTATAGAGTATTACAAATTATGACGTACACAATGGATTCACATGAAAACATAATAAAAATATTGGAGATATTCTCAAATTTCTGTGTTTTAAATTTCAAAAGCGTATGTTTATTACTTTTTCTTTAATAATATTTTCATTGCCCCTTTCTTTAAGAGCTACAGATTATCATAACGTCAAAAACACACTGCAACAACGTCAACCTACCTATCAATTGCAAAATAGGTTAAAAAATCAGTTATATCAAATTGTAATTACATTTTTATACCTATGATTTCTTAATTGTGTTTAATTTTAATAATTAAGCGAAGAAGGTTGCATTAAAACACTAAATACGCTTCTTTTTTCTATGATGCGTGAAATATTGCACAATGGAAACTAAAGTCGGCCCTCTTAATTTTACAAATAATGTATGGATATGACACTTTTTCCTCTGTAGTGTAAATTCAATGTGCTCATGAAGTTAAAGCTGACATGAACTCTTAAAAAGGCATCAGTTTTCATCTTTGTACGACTTACTACATTCCTGTACGCCCTTGTCCGACATATTTGTTCGATTCCGCCATATTTATCCAAGATTTTCGGCCACCTGTACCTGCTATATATAGCCCTGTAGAACTGTTTCACTTGAGTGATTTTCTAGCCTGGCTGTCGACATGTACACATATCCGATAGCATAGTTTTTGAAGTCCATAAAAAAAACAAAAAATGTTTGAAAAGAAAGAATTCAACAAAAAATAGAACTATATCTCGAGAATTAAATTATTTTTGAATGCATTTGCTGCAATATAGAAAATACACTAACACGGAATCTATCATTTACAGGAAAAACCCATGCATCAAAACGCGTCAAACGCAGTGATAAAACATTTACCTGAATATACTGATCGTTATGGGGATGTGCACATCTTCGATGGAATTAACCCATTTTACTTTTATTCAAATTTGAACTGGAAGTCGTGTAATCCATTGCTAACTCAACAGTAAAAGATGCTTGGACACACGTGGTCCATAAACCATTGGATTTTGGTCAGGGAAAATATCAAAGGTTGAAAGCTCAGTAGGGTTGATTGAAAAAAAAATGCAAGTGATTTTTTCAAAAATTAACATTACTCTTGTCTGTAAATGTTGTAAATAAAATTTATGATTACATGGTACATGTTAACTTCATTAAATCTATAATAAAGCATGCATTATTACGAATCATTCACCTTTTGAAGATATTTTCCTGTGATAGGAGGAGGGGGGGGGGTAACATGCATGTTAACATTCTCATAAAAATAATTTAATAAAAACGTCTGAAACAGATAGGATTTATTTATGATTAATTATTATCAAATAAATACTGTGTATTGGCATTATTAGACCTAATATAATTTTATTCAAAGTGATTTATAATATTATTCACAATGCCGGGAAGAAAAAGTGAGCAAGTTCACATACCTCACGTTCCCCCAAAAGTCGAAGCGCTGTTTCCTTGTAATATGTACATCTATACACATTGTGTCCTAAATACTGCAAAGTTTCATGAAATTGTTTGCTAACGGTTTATAAAAAAATTGCGCTGACAAACTGCTCATCTCGATTATCATATTACTGAAAAATGCAAAATTCACTAAATTTTAATATAAACAGGGATGGTCAAACTGTGTGTTGAACACTATTGAATGTACAAATAAATTTTTGTATTCTGGTTAAATGCTTTTATTTCTTGAACTAAATAATTACCGTATATCAAACTACTCGGTTTAGATTTGAGATTAGTACTAAAATAATCAGTTAAAATTCATAAAAGAATTTTGCGATGCAAAGCAACTGCAGACTATATAGAATGTTTATTAGAACTATTGAGAGACAATTTTCAGTTACACGTTATGAAGCAGTTATAAATATACTTTAGTTACCCCCCCCCCCCCCTTTTCAACAGCGCAAATACCAAATAACTTCTTTTTCCACTTGGGAAATTTAAGTAATCCCTGACCTGAAATGATCAGCACGAAAAGTGTTTTGATGTGCTAGTCTGTACGGAGTAATGACAGTGTGTTTAAAAGACCTTTTTTGAGTTTATTTCTTTTTTGTGATGCATATTTCTAAATGGAATTCAGGGTGTATATCACTTACTTGTGCAATGTTATAACGATGCAGTAACCTTATTACCAGGTATGGGTACGTTTACAGCGTTCGACGCGTTTTCAGATATGCATCAATTGCATAGGACCTGCAAATCAAAGACGTTGGTTGTTTTGCTCCATTCAAATGATATAATTTCAAAATCTGTTTGCAGATTTTACTGCTTTTTATTTCAAGTTTATTCTGCATAAATTGACGCAATGTAAAAACACGTACTCATGCATCCAAATTTCTCCTCCAAACTTGCATTTTTTTTCTTTTGATTCAAATTAATAATTATTCAGAAATATGATTATTATGTTGTTTATTGTGGTTTTGAAATGTCTTGATCACCCCATGTGTTCTCATATGCTTTACCATCGGAGAGATGTGCACAAGTCGATACCCAAGCCAACCAGCTTTAAGGCCCTTGACACTTTTCCCTCTGTAGTGTAAATTCAATGTGCTCATGAAGTTAAGGCCCTTGACACTTTTCCCTCTGTAGTGTAAATTCAATGTGCTCATGAAGTTAAGGCCTTTGACACTTTTTCTGTAAAAAAATTAATGTGCTCATGAGGTTAAGGCCTTTAGGCCTTGTGTTTACACATTCCATATGTTTGTTATGGCAATTAAGCACTGCATGCAATTAGGAACTAAACACATACTTGGCTGTTCCCCATTGTAAACTACGTGATGTGAGTATAGACAGCAGAGTTTGATTATAGTTTATTTGTCAGCACGACCACTGTACCTGTACCCGGACTGATGACCTCCTAGGACACTGATCAGCTGATGGAGGCAACAAAGGCAGGATGTAAAAGAAGATGGTTGGAGAGTCCCTAGTGATCAGGTATGATTCAAATTGATTTGATAAGTTTGTAAATCTCTGCTTATGTTAAGCACACTTAGGTAAAAATTAATCATATTTACAACTTTAGATGCATAAACTTCTTTATTGTGGATTCAATTTTGTTATACATTGTACTAACTTCTTGGGGATTCAGAAGGTGCCAGTCAAAGAGGGGGGGGGGTCATGGCAGTGTTTGAAACTCACTGTAAAAATAAGCTAGACATACGGGGCTGATAGCTAGTGAAAGTTGTCTGCCCTGCCAAAAATGTATTAGCTCGAAAAAAATATTTGTCTTTTTTATAAGTTCATTTTAGCAATAATGTGAATGGGGCCAGCTCACTATATATTTGATCCCGTACCTACAGGTTGATTAATTCTGACCGTTTGCTTATTGCACTTTGCACCCAGTAATATTAGTTGATTTGAGAGAGTTTAATTAAACATCTATATTTTAATTTATGGAAAATTGTTATTTTCCAACCATGCATCAATACATTCAAATCTGTTTGCCCGTGACAAAATTTAAGTGTCTCGGGCTGTTAGGGGCAAGGTTAATAATCAAGGTCAAACAACAGTACAAATATATGTACTAGTGCGTGGCCTTGAGACTGTGTCAGACTAATGATTTTTATTCTGAAATAATAGCACTAACCAGCATGAAAACTGATTAAGTTTTATACAGATATACTAAGTTTACAAAAATATAGGCAAAAAGAAAAAAAAAAATCCTGCTTGGAATGTAGCCCTTTTAGTCTCTTGTTTTAATTTTGGGCTCACAAAATATTTTCTTCCTTAACTCTCATAAGCTTGTGACATGAGCATATGGTTCAAGTCCATTGAAATGTGCATTAGTTTAAATTTGAGATCTAGTTTGACTATGAAACTATTCAATATCTTTCTTTAAAATCAACCTGCTTTGAAAGTTACATTTGAAATGCTTGCAAAGATAAAAAACATTGAAGAAGCCTTTTTGAAAATAGAAAAAAAACTGTGTCACAAAGTTTGTAGAATGTGTGTAAATAACAGCATACAGATAATTTTATCAGCATAGTAAAGCTTGATAATAGATTGATTGTAAATTTAAATAGTTTGATCTACCTGTCCTAGATAAGTGTCGTTATAGCCTGACTTGTGTTACAGGGCTTTGAGACCTGAATAAGATGACCCTGTTTTGACATCAGCCCCAGATTTAGGACTTGTTTAGGTGGAGTTACAGCCCCTTGCAGTCATGTGAGTAGCTTTTGTATTACATTTCTGTGTACCTTGTGTTTTATTAAATTTGAATATTTAAACTTTGAACTTTGATAAACTTGACTGCAAATGATTCTCATGTCAGAGCTGCTGATATGAATGAGAAACTAGAAAGAAATATTGGTCTGTGTCCAAAATATCTGGAGACATTTTAGCTGGTGTATATTTTATCTCTCAACCAGCTTTTAAACCAACTTAGCTTTTTTTGTACATGTATGCATGTAATTTGAGCACATTATATGAGTGGATAATTGAGAGCTATTATGCCTGTAGAATTTTTGTCTTTAAGGACGTTCGATCCTGGGCGGATTTCAAAATGCGACGTTTCCCGTCAAAATTAACCATGTGACCTGAACTCCGATATTTTTCGCAGTATATCCTACTCATATTTTAGAGTGCGATTGAGAATATTTTGTATTTGTACACGTGCGGTAGGGTTTTGAATTCCGATTTTTCCTGGGGACGACTGGGATCGAAAAATGATTTTTTTTTTTAAATCTAAATTCCCACAAGACCTGGTTAATATAAAATTGCAATGTTCATGGAGCAGATCTAGAGTACCAAAAGATATGTAACTAAACTTCAAACCAATCAAATATTACGAAACTATACTTGAAAGGATTGATTGATTGTATGTTGTTTAACATCCCTCTCGAGAATTTTTCACTCATATGGAGACGCCACCACTTGCCAAATTTCGTCCTATACTCGGCACTTAGGCCATCGAGCAGTGGGGGATCTTTTTCGTGCCAGCACCTCCTTCGACAAGGGACCTCGGTTTATACGGTCTCGTCCGAAGAACCGGTCTCCACGTCCCACAGTGGGATTCTCACCCGCGACGTTAGGATCGACATCTTTAGGGTAGGGTGGTGTAATTTCGACCGATTATTTTTTGTACTTAAGATTTGTTAAAGTATGTCACTGTTATGTTATGCTACAACTTTTACTGAATCTTTCAGATTACATCGATTTTGTATATATTTTTGGTCATAATATGAAATAAATGCGTTCGATTTACACGATATGTGTGTTGGGTGATTTCGACCGCATACGGGGTATTTTCGACCGATGAGCCAATACAAAGGAAATAATTGGCGTCAGCTCTAATATAGAAAAAAATATATATGAATTAAATTTTTTCTGCTGTACAGAATAAAGGATCGAGTAAAAATACTGACCCAAAAAATGACAATTTTCAAAATGTACCTAATTCGAAGACATCGAGTGCACCAGATATGTTCATGACGCCGATTTGCCAATTGGTTAAAGCACCAACAAATGTACATACACAGGTATCTAAACCGCACGTAAATAAATCAAATGATTTTTCACTATTATAGTACTAGTTTCTACCACGTATTAATGTACATAATTCTTATCAGAATATTTTTTTCCGGACGGTGATGAATTCTTTGTGGTGACAGATAGTGAATTGCGTCATTTTACGTTGGTCGAAGTTACCCACTGAAGCCGTATCCATGCAGGGATAACTTCGGACGATTTCTGTTCAGCTGATTTGCAATTTAATTTGTAAAAACTAACTACTAAAATTAAAAGGGTATAAATTTCATTTTCAAAATAATATTTGATAAATGTCACGTCAGGGATATCCATTGATTGTCTTCCCATACAAGATTTTTCTGAGGTGATGGTTCGCCGAAGTGGCAAAAAATATACTCGTCTGTAATTTTTCGGGTGATAAAGCCTATTCTTTGATGAATTTTCCAATAACGATCTTAATAACGCTCTTGGAAATAAAATTATTTTGGACACAATATATTAAAAATACGTTTTCTTTCTGAATAATAGAATTGTACATACACAATTATACGCCATAAACAAATTATATTAAGGTATTTATGAACGGTCGAAATTAACCAGGTGGTCGAAATTACACCACCCTACCCTATACCTCGCGACTGTTTTAGCACAAAATTTCACCGCCTTGTCTAGAAACATCTGTACGTTGTATTTTTCGGCTGCTATGATGTAATCCAGTAGTGACGTCACTGTCAGACTCGTTTCTGGATTACACATGCTCTAAATACCACTGCGCCACGCAGGCAACTTTATTTGAAAGGAAGAATGGACATTTACATACAAGAATATACCATGATGTAATACGGCTTTGAACGAATTGCATTTTACGATACTGCAAAAATAAAGCAAACAAACTGCCAATTTCTCACAATTGTGTTTAATATCTTATTTCATGATTAGGTGAAACTTCAAGAAAAGACAGTGAAACAACATAAAAGTAAGCAAATAGATTAACAGATACTTTACATTTCTCAGTCCATTGGAATAGACAAAATTGCAAGTGTTACATTGCACACAAAGATTTGTCCATTTAATGAAGTTCTCACCTCCACCCTGTTCACTGTTTATTTTGGTCCTTGCAAATGATGAACTTGTGTGTGTGGTCGTAAAAATAGGACCACCATCTTCTCAGTGTGTTGCTCTTCACAGGGTAATCTTTGCAGTATCTGCCGTACACATTGAATTTAATGTCAATATCATTCACACCCGGAACAAACCACCCAGACCATTGCCCACCGGACCATCTGATTTGGTACGCCACGACTCCTTCCTCGGAGATAGAATTGGTCCAAATTTGGCTCAGATCAGCATGCCACCCACATTCTTTGTGTCCAACTCTTCCGCGGATGACTTCTTTACATACTGGCTGGGTACGGGTGTTGTGTTTCACCAGATCATTGCTGTCAACCAAGACCACCAAACCGAACACCACCACAGCAAACAACTTCAACATGATTTGGTTTTTTCTGGATTGCTTTTTCGTTAATTAAATTTCAAATCAGTATACGCCTTATTTTCTGTTGATGAACTATGATTTGATTACCATTGCACTTGCCATTTTATAGAAATAAATTCTGGAAAGTCCCGGAGAGCCATAAAACAACAGCTGTAAGTTATATAACACTAGCTCTTTTTTCAAGTGTGATGTTTGTTTGTATAAGACAAAACAAGGGGGTGTTCAAAAAAGTTCGCAAAGTAATTGAATTACATGAGTGTACTTCTGTGAAAGAAGTAAAATTACTAGTAGGTTTCAGTATTCTGAATTTTTAAGTTGTCCCCTCACATTTCAATGCATAATTATATATCTGCCAATGTGGATGACGTATGGGCGCCTTCCTTTTGCCATATCTTTTATGTTTAAAGTCTAAACGAGATTTTAGGAAAATAATAATTATAATATTATCATTTTTAAGATATTCAACTACTTTGCTAGAATTAATTTGGCGATTTTTTCATAACAAATTGCTCATCTAAGGACACATCTCTTCTCCAGCTTAGCTGCTTTCACTGGGCTACAGAACAAAATTATAATTTTAAGCAGTTCCCTTCCTTCACTAAAACGAATCAATCCAATTAATGATTAAACTTCTGGCAACTTTTTTGTCTTTATAAACCTTGTACAAATTATTATATTCTACTCCAAAGGAATTTCCAAACTATACGCTTTCAAAGTCTTTTTTTTTTGGCTCGAGTACAACAGAGTTAACCATTTTTGGTAACAAATCACCTACATATTGACGTCATTTTAACATTGTGCCGCCACAAACATGGAGAAAAACATTATAAAACATTTGTTGCTTCAAGAACTTTTGAGCACCCCTAGCACTATAACTGATAACTGTGTAGTTTACATGAAATATGTGGAGTTAACGAACAGTATTCAAGCTCAAAATTCCATTAAAGATTACAAAGAAGGAGCAGAGCAAACACGGACCTTTAAACCATCAGAGATAGGATCAGATGCCATGATGGAATAAGCATCCTCTTCCGACCGGTCATACCTCCTTGTCAGGCATGGTCGAGATATACTGGGAAAATCCGTAAACAATTCAGTGTTTAAACAAGCATTATGGGAGTATTTCATAAGCAATGATACATGTCACCTACTGGGTTCCTCTGTTCTCTTAGGATACCATTCTCTATCTAGAGTTGTCGTTCCTGCTTCGCCCCCACATACACCTCTGCCAACGCTTTTTAATTAAGATTTTAAGATTAAGATTTTAATTTTCATACTTTTAGTTTTATAGTTCTCTAAAAACTTTGAAAATAAGTCGTTTTGAGGGATTATAAATTTAAAATAAATGATGAATTATCATCTTCAAAGATAATTACATTAATTAATAATCATTTAATTTCGAATCTTCACTTTGTACAAGAATCTTGTACAACGAGCGTTGACGAGGTGTTGTGAGGGTAGCAGAAGACAACTCTGGATATAGAATGTGGTTGCAGACTACTAAGAGTTTACCCCTATATTTCATTGACCTTTAGGTGAGCTAAAAATGTCACTTTGGTACGTGACCGGGATTGGCCTGTCAAATTAAATGGAAAAATTCATTAGAATGAGGTCAAAAGGTGTTCAAATTCATTAAGTTTTATTGCATTTGAAAGTGTGTGTGATTATAAAATGCAATATGTTACCCGGCACTTGAAACACAAATAAAACATTTTCTCTCTTTTTATGGTACTGAGAGGCTGGGCCTTATTGCAACTCATGAATCTGATTTTTTTAAAATTTCCTAAAGTTCATTTTTTAAAAAATCTGGTGGGAGGGTTTTGAAATAGATCAACATGTACTAGATAATCTAAATTAGATAGTATTATTAGTACTCTTGTGGGAAATTTTCAACATTGTATTTTTTTAAGTATCTGTAAGTTTTCGCTCTGACATGAATAGAAAAAATCTATTGAATATGTGAATGAATATGGGACATATTTTTTGACTGATGTGATTTTGAATAGGAACATGTAGATAATTAATTAAAGTTGTTAAGAGTTTTACAATAAACGTAATTTAAACTAATTTAAAAACATTTCATTTTTGAAAAGGACAGACAGTACAGACAGTACATGTCAAAATTAAATGATATCAAAAAACTGCTATGCAGTTAGAGTATGAGGAAACTTATCCCAACTGGCAGATTAACAGTAATGAAAACTCTTATTATACCTAAACTAAATCATCTGATTCTTACATTACCAAATCCTAAATCCGAATTTCTAAAAATGTTTGAGACATAGTTGTTTCACTTTTTATGGAATAGTAAAATACATAAGATAAAGAAAAATGTTATAATTCAGGACTATAAATATGGAGGATTGAAAATGGTAGATTACATAGAATTTATTTCTGCACTTAAATCATGTTGGATTAGAAGACTCATTCACTCTCAGATGCAAAATGGGTAAAGTTGTTTAAAGCTGAACTAAAAACAGACATTGAAAGCTTGTGGATAAGGGCTCAGATTACATTCTAAATTTAACAAAGAATTTAACAAATAATTTTTGGAAAGAGGTCCTTAATTCCTGGGTAAGACTTATAAATATAAACCAAGAAAACAAACATGTGTTATCAAAATATATATGGAATAACCCACACGTAATGATTAACAGAAAATCTTTTTTTCTGGAAAAGCTATTTTGATGAAGGCTTTGTCTTTTTAAATGACCTTTTTGATAATGATGGTAACTTTTAAGCTTAATTTGATACCATAGTAAACTTAAAAGTGAAAACAAATTTTGTTAAGTATATAATGGTCTTAAGAGGGCTACTGTACATCACTTTATTTTTGCGACACCTTATTTTAGCGAGATAGTCATTGACTCTTTATTAGCGTGACAAAATTTTCACAAATTGTGGTCATTGCTCCATATAATATTAAGGAATTCTATTATACGCGAGAATGAAATTTTTGCGAGCATACCGTCTTACGTAATTACGCGAAAAAAATTGCGAATAAAAAGTGATTTACAGTATATTAAAAAGACTGAAGTATGCAAGAATAGAGGACATTAAAAGATTAAAGATTATTGGACCAAATATTCCAAATTCAACTCTCATATTTTATAGAAATAATAAAGGATGTAAAGATATGTATGAAATATTTATGAATAATAAGAGAGAGCCAATCAGTTCTCTTTTAAAATGGAATGAAAATAATGTTTTCTTTGATGAAGCAGATTGGAATAAAATATTTGAACGTCCTTTCAAAGTTACTCAGGAATCCAAATTTCATTGGCTCCAATTTCAAATATTACACAGAATTATTCCAACAAATTATTATCTTTTTAGATTGAAGTTGATTGATTCACCAGCCTGTACATTTTGTTTAAGTGACATAGAAACAATTGACCACTTGTTTGTAGAATGTTTTAAAGTAATATGGTGTAGGATTGAAGAATGGGTTTTGGAAAAAATTTGAGATTCATTGTAGTTTTGACAAACAAGTAATACTTTTTGGTAAATATGAGAACAGGAATATATGTAAATTACAAAACTTGATAATACTTATTGTAAAACAATTTATTTTTGCTATTGAATATAAAAGTGTTCCAAAATTAAGTATTGATATCCTAATAAAGAGGATTATAGAGAGAATTTTTATAGAAAAGGCTTTGTTATTACAAAGTTGTAGATATATGGAATATGAAAGGCACTGGCAAAAAATCTGTGATGTACTTTGAAAAAAAAAATCTACATGTATTTTTATGATGAAATCTAATTACGTGCTAATTCTAAAGACTTACATTAGTTGATTGTAAATATTTGAATGCATTTTTAAGTACTGCTGACCCCCCCCCTTTTTTTTTTTTTAGATAAAACAACTTTCACGTTTACAAGTAAACTTTGTACTGTTGTAAAAGAATGACATTATCAAGAAATTCAAATATGTATGTGTATATATATGCTTTGCTTATATATATTGTTTGCTTTGTATACTTGTGAAAGCCAATTAAAAAAACAAAAAAAAAACAAAAACAAAAACAACAACAACAAAAAACAAACAAACAAAGAAACGCCGACCACTCTTTGATCAGAAAAGCACATATGACACTTCAGATCAAATAAGCTTATTTTTATTGTCAGTTGACACTCGAATTCTTGATTAGATACATTGTAGGCTTTTCAGTATTTTTATTTTTTTTTAGTTTGATTTAAATAGTAAAATAGATAATGAACTTTATGCTTTTGTCCCCTCAATACTCATAATAAGGACTGGTGACATTTTTTAAAAAAATTTTTGAAGGCGGGGAAATCTGATTTCATTTTGATAAATTTACTTGTTTCTGGAATATGCGTAATGTCAAATACTGGCGTTGGTTAAACATACCAAAATTAAAATCACGTTTTCTAAAAGATTTGTCTATTGAGTCTATGTATGCTTCATAGTGTTTTACCAGTTTTTGCTTTAGAAAGACGGAAGTGAGAAAGATTTCGAAACAAACCTGTCATCGATACAATTGTACAATAAGAGAATACCGATCATCAGGGTATGATTCTTATCAAGCCATTGAAGCCCTGGATTTAACAAATTACAAAAAAAAATTAAATACCCATATTATAGTTGTTTCCTTAGAGATAAAGTTGTTTGCATTGTCAAGTACACATCCAGAAATGGAGGGTTTATCACAAGATCAAACAAAATAAACAGAGTCTATTTAGATTCCTAAAAAAATTATATCCTCTAGTAAAATGTTTTATTACAAATATCTGAAACCACGAAATCATCTTATTTTTTTATCAAATATAAATATTAAATGAATTTTATAGCTTATAGATTTTTTGAGATTAGTCATTTTTACATTTCACCTCGGGGGCAAATTGGGGAACGAAAAATAACGTTTTTCATTTTATTGTAAACTAGTTCCTTGTACTCCTATACATTTTAAGCATCCTTTTCATCTTTTGCAAGATGCTTTGAGATGTCTGTAGATGTGTAATTAAGAATTTTGAGTTTAACCCTGGGAGCCAAATGATAGTCTCTCATGCGTATACTATACTGTAACCATTTTTCTAAGACAATTAAGAGTTTCCTAAAGAGATCTTGTTACTCTCTCTCTCTCTCTCTCTCTCTCTCTCTCTCTCTCTCTCTCTCTCTCTCTCTCTCATGGACCTTTAAAACACAGTTTCTGAGATTTAATATCTTGAAAGCAATTCGATTCTGTTTATACTCATTAATATGCAAATTAAAATACTTACACTGTTATTTTTTCATATTCAACTTTATTAACAGAAAGTGCAAAAAATGTCTTGTATTTGAGAAAAGTGTTTCATTTTACACATTATCATAATATCGCTCTAAACAATGCACTAATAATGCAAAAAATAAGCCAAGGAACATCCATCGTCATTGTTCTGCAACCTGCTGAGGAATCTAGAAAGGAATAAAAAAGAAATATTCCAATGAAATGCTCGATAAAGTTAGGTTGATAAATAAATCATGCAACTATTACAGAAGATGTACCTTTGCAGCCATGCTTTTTCATCTGATCTTTAACATAGAAGATGTTTAATTCCACAGGAATATTTTTGCATGCTGTAGCAACTTTGTCAACACATGCAATAACTTCATATGATTTCCTAGGAAAAGAAATTATATCTGATTAAACGTCAATATTCGAAATATTTTGTATTAAATAAATCTTATCTTTGTATTTATAGTATCGTATATTACGGTTTTTTTTTTCAAAGGACGGTATCTGTGATTCTTAGTAGTTTGAATATTTCTATATTATGAATGCCATATAACATGTATTTGATAGTGTATAGAGTTGGCAATATTTTAAGAGTTCTTTGAATATCAATCTTATTTATAGTTTAAGGTGGAACAGCTCTATGATGCAAGAGATACTTTTTCAAAGAATTCAACGATATCATGTTCGATATTTTGTCTAATGTAGTTTTAAGGTACTGTAAACTATTATTAAATAAATTCATCAAAATCAATTTAGAACAAAAATATAACTTCTATTTCTTAATAGTTTTTTAGCCGGGCTTATTGCTCAAAGAGCAATTGCCGGCTTATGTGATCCTGTTCAAGGCAGGATGTTGACCCCATAGTCGCCATTTTAAAGTTACGTGCAAAAATATAGTTATTACTCTCAACTGCTTTTGAGATAATACAAACGCTAAATAAAGCAACAAAAATAAAGCGAAGTTTTATCTATATAAAATAAACATTAGTAGTAATGACTTTCAAAACTTCATAAGTCAAAGAACATAGTTCATTAGCGTAAGGATTTTTGATAATCAGTCAGTTACCGTAGTACTCTACACATACGAGGTAAAGCAGGAGAGGGAACCAGACTGGCCTGTTTGTTTACATTCAGCTGCGGTACCAGATTAATTCGGTCATTCTGACAAAATTGGACCGAGGATTGAAAAACTCACTGTCAGTGTCTTATCATTTTTATTGATAGTTTTAAAATAATTTTTTTCATCAGAATATAAACGTGATTCATCTAAGAAATCCATTCTACTCTGTAAATGAGCCCGGCTCTCTGTACTTCTTAGTACTTTGATTTTAATTGGCTATAAACATTTGCACCTTGTTATGTTAGTCTTCTACAAATTTCAAACTTTTTCTCTTTTATTTAGAATGTTAAAACTATAAATTTATCAAATATCATATACATGTATAATTCATCTATCAGTTGTATATTTTTTTTTTCTTTAATAAAAATCATTGTCAGAATTTTATTAATTATGATTAGAACAATTTTTTGTTGAAATTTTGAGCAGGATTTGATCTTTCAATACGTTATATGACTTACTTGCATATAGCGTCAAGTTCAGAAGGATTTTCCTTTATTGCATTCTTCATTTTTTCAATACAGATAGAAACAGATGCATTGGAACAGGTTGTCAGCAAAAATGCCTGGAACAGAATTAAGTAATTGACTTGAGATTTTAGTTTAAGACAGAAGTGTCCATACACAAACACACCCAGCCTCACATACAAAAAAAAAGAATGGGTTTTTTGCTTATTGCTTTATTACAGTAAACATAATCTGCATTTTCCATATATGTGCAAACCTGTAAGCTATAATTTATTTCCTGGTTCGTGGTTAAAGCTTTTAGGCAAGAAGACATCTTTTAAGAAGACGTCTTTTGCTTGAGTGAGGCATACTAAATTCATCTTGTCTCACATATATTTTAATTTGTGCAAAGACCTGAGAGACATTATTTGTCTTTAATGAATTTCATGTTTGTAACAAGAGGCCCTTGGGCCTTATAGATCACTTGCGTATCATGTAACAACTTTCTAATATTTGAATTTAGTTCGTGTTTTAAACCAGAGGCCATGAAACTCACAATTTTGAGAGAGGCACCATTGCTTATCATAACTATACAGTTAGTATGCTTACCTTGGTTTCTGAATACCCAGAGGTAGATATAGTAACAAAGAGAAAATGCATTTCACTTTATAACACGTTGTGCACCAAAACCCACAGGAACCACTGACCCTGGGGTCACATATCTTAAAATTTTGGAAATTTTATCAAAGATTTTATTTCGTCATAAATGCTTGATTAATACCAAAGAACAGATTTCAAAGCATTAATTTATTTTCAGAATATGTAACAACCACCACCCAGTCCCTGACCAAGGGGCCCTGACATTGGCCATTTTGGAGGAGGTACCTTTCTTACCATCATAAATATGTACATGTACTTAGATCATTGGCATAATACCCAGGAACAAAGGTAAATATTTTCAAAGAAATAATGCATTTTCACTATATATAATTATTAGAGCCCTACCTTAACACCAGAGACCCTGACCCAAGGGCCCTGAAATTCACAATTTTAGAAGAGGTATCCTTCCCCAACATAAGTATGTAAATAGTTCATTGGTTTAATACCCAGGAGCAGAGAAATTTTTTAAAGAATTTATGCATTTTCACTATATATTCAATAAAGCCCAACCCTACTACCAGAACCCCTGACCCTGGGACTATGAAATTCATAATTTTGGTAAAAGCAGTCTTATTCAACATAACTATGTACTTGGTTAGTTTATTTAATACTCAGGAGCAGATAAGAAGATTTTAAAAGAATTATACACTGTAGTAATTTCACTATATTATCATTAGAGCCCTATCCTAACACCAGAACCCCTAACCCAGGGGCCATGAATTTCATAATTTGGAACAGACTCATCATAACTATTTACTTAATAAGTTTGTTTAATATCCGGGAAAAGAGAAGAAATTTTTCAAAGATATATTGCATTTTCACCATATAATATATAGAGCCTCTTCCTAACAAAGAACACCTGTCCATGGGGCCATGAAATTCACAATTTTGAAAGAGGCAGTCTTATTAAACATAATTATGATTTATGAACTTGGTTATTTTTTTCATGCCCAGGAATAGAGAAGATTTTCAAAGAAAAAATGCATTTCACTACATAATCTGTATATCCCCGCCCTAGCACGAGAAGCCCTGACCCCGGGGCTATAAAATTTTACTCAGGTGACCTAAAAATACAGGGGTGGTGGGGCACAACCCCTAAAATCCCCCAGTATACTTTAAACGTTTTACATTTGACTGTGTATTCTTTTCAGCGCTTTTGGCGGAAAGACACTTATGCTAATTCAAGTACAACGCTAAATGTTTTGTACTTATATACGTAAATAAGAACTATTGGAAATGCGCTAAATCAAATCCACGCTAACTTCTTCAAAACTTAATTTCCGTACACGCTAAACATAATACATTTACAGTATTTACGCATGAAACCTCTATCAACTGGCAATTGCACTCGGAAAATTCTGTACGCTTATGACAATTTTTAAAAACAACTTAAGCGTATTGTAGCACAAGCTAAAGGTAGTTTTAAGAAAAAATAGCGCTGTTCAAATGCTTTTTTTTCGAAACGCGATATAAATGTGTTACAGAATACTAGTATTTGAATCGATTGAATTTGTTGAGCGTATTTTTGACTGAATACTAGTACTGGGAATAAGATCTATTTTTAGAAAGAGATAAGACATACCTATTATCATGAAATTTTTGTGGGTAATGCTATATGTGTTATTTCTTAATTTTTTTTCTTTATAATGCAGTTTTGTTAATTTTCTAAAAAGAAGTTTCAATAAACATCTGGCACTTTTCATGCTGATGATTTTTCTGTGTTTGTTTGCCAAAGAAATATTTACTATTTTTCTCAAATTCAAAAGTGATGGTATCAGTGAAATTAAATTTGACCGTTTTATAATAAAGGCATGGTCAGGTCAAGGTCATTACCTTTTTCCTGGACATTAATAATAATTATATATTAAGTGATTCCTATTTGTATTTCAAAAGATTGAATTTTTCTTTTTGCATTAAAAATATACTACCATAAAGGGCTTATAAGATGATATTACCAAATTGACATAAATAATTTAACTACAATATATATTGGCTAATCCTAATGTTCTACTTTTCTTAAATTTTAGTAAATAAGTAATGATCTTTTAGTTATTTTTATATGCTTCCTATATTTGAATTTCACATATGGTAAATTTGTCAAATAATGATACTAAATGATACAAAAACAAAAGTTTTGATAGTTTACTAAGAGACAAAAAATACTTTTTACGGATTTTGGGCTCAAATCTATATTATATTTAGATATAAAGCTTATAAAAGCTAGCATAATTCTAATAAGTTTGAAAAATCATATTTATTTGATATACTGTATTTAGGAATTTTAGTCCCTTATTATTTTAAAATTAAACTTACATTTGAAAAAGTTCTTCAAGTCTTTGATTGTGTAAAAATTATGACTAAATGGAGATAATTTTGAGAGGCAGGAAAGAAATTTTCATACGCCACCATTCCGCCAAAAATATAGTCCCTGCTAGTTTTCAAACGCGGCTTGCCATTTCTACTTAAAGTTGTACAATTGTGATGAGGAAAGAAAAATATGGTCTTTTAAATATCTTAAACTTAAATATATACGACATATAAGCAAATGTACTTTGAATATTTCATCTAGTCAGAAACCAAGAAAGAATCTTACCTTAAGTTTTCTTATACATTGTTTATGATTATGTCAATAAGTCAAAAATTGTTAATTGTAATAATTTAATTTGAAAGAACATTTCGCCTCGCCCCAATTCTGCTTATATGGATGGCTACTTACCTCCAATAAAGCATACGAATGATGCAGCGAATAAATAGCAAATACTTTTGCGTGTCATCATGGCGGCAACAAAAATAAAATCTTACATAATGTAGCCTTTTATACCTGTAAAATTCAGACCCAAAGATAAGATAAGTTTCAACCTCTCAATATCCTAAGTACTTCAGAACTTCAGACAAGGAGCATTTACAAAGATAGAATTCTGTTCTGGGTAGCCAAAATGATGGGTCAAAATCTGTAGCTTTTAAATTTTATTATATTTTTTTAAAAATCTGCCTAAATAGCTATAGAGGGTGGTGATTCATATGAAAGCTTATCAGTGGAACTATTTCAACTTTAATGTTGGGGTTTAAGAAAATACTTCTGTTATTAGTCCCCTACCGGTTTTGCTAAACGCTTGGCAGAAGGATAAAACGTACGCTCAACTAGGATCGAGGGTCCCTCGCAAATACTTCGTCATTTTGCTTAGTAATAAAACATTTTAGGAGCTCTTCAGGCATTAAAGGCACAAAAGTAAATTCATCGATATCAATACGAGACCTCAGGTCACCTTATATATGTTATATACAGCTCAACGCACTTTTTAAGCTCACATGGTTTTTCACACAGTTGTTACGTCACGTTGTTATTATGCAAAATTGTGTAACGAGACATCAAAATATTTTGAAAAGTGTTTTTTAACTTACATTTAAGTTTTATATATAACAAATTTAAAACATAATTCACATATGAATATTGGACTTTTACGAGAGGCACTTACTTTTACAGTTGACTGTTTACTTGGACATTAAAACATTCACATCTAAGGAGGTACAGAATTGATAATGGAAAAGAAATCTTTCTGGTGGTCATGGTGATAGTGTTAGGGGCACTTGTATGTGAAGGCCTGGATTTCAGGGTAGGATGGTTGTCGTTTTCTTCAAGGACAACTTATCTGTGCTTTGAAATAACCCGTTTTTTTAGTTGACTTAAATGTTGAGCTAAATATTATTATATCGTAAAAGAGCTTCCGTACACTGTCCTAGTGTGAGAGTAATTCGTCAACCGTAAAAGTCAGCGCTTCTTGTAAAAGTCCATTGGTAGGATTTCGATTTACACTTGGCTGGTGGATTGTAATAGTTCCCAAATGGTTTTTAGTGATTTCTCGTCAAATGTGGCCGTCTATGTAACCGTTCTTTTTAAAACAGTTTTTGCTTTGCACTGACTTAAAAATACATATCAGGGATATGTCTCGTTTAAAAGGAGGATAATGTTCATTCTAATGCAAATTGAATGTGACCTTAAATTGTGCAAAAAACCATATGAGCTTAGAAAGTGCGTTGAGCTGTATTAATTGAATTTTATTTAGAGCAGTTTTCTTTGTCTTACGCTAAAATATATATATATATATATATATATATATATATATATATATATATATATATATATATATATATATATATATATATATATATATATATATATATATATATATTATATATATATATATAATATATATATATATATTAGGGATGTCAACGAGTACCCGGTTAACCGGGTACTCGATCGAACGTCCGAGTATCGAATACTAAAATCGGTACTCGGTTACTCGGATGTATATTTTCAAATATTTCTAAGCTTATTTATTAATGGATTAAACAATCTGTTTTAAAACGTAAAAAAATACTTATTGCATTTGTACATACAGTAATTAGGGTTTCCTACTCCACTAAATGACCGTTAT